TACAGTGTAATCAGTGAGGGGATTCTGCAGACTGTTGAGGGTTCAGCCTCCTGATGAGTCGGTGAAACTCCGACGAAACAGTCTGTCACAGCCCCGCGTTTGTTGTCCTCTTCTCTCTCTCTGCCTACGGTTTACCGGGCAGTTCTGTTTGTGACGATATAGAACTGCCTGGTAAATCAGAGGCAGAGAGAGAGAAAAAAACAACAAACGAGGGACTGTGACAAACAGTTTCGACGGAGTTTCACCAACTCATCATATATATTTACATATATATACATTTTTGCCACGAAATTTCGGCCCCGCCAATACTCTTGCTGTGAAACTGCCGCGACGCGCTATTTTTGAAATTCACACGAAGCAAAAATTGAGCTGAGCCGAAGGACGCCGCGGCTTGCTTACCTGTGAGGAGCAGCATGATGCCGCCCGTGGTGACGAAGAAGATCAGCGCCGGGATACCGACGAAAAGAAGCAGAGGGATCCAGAGCGGGGCGATGCAGCAGCCTACGGCGAATGTGCAAGGAGACGTAAGGAGAAGCAACAAACCGCCAATGAGGAGCACGGGCAGGCCGAGAAGAAGCAGGGCCCCGAGCACAACCCCCGCTAGGGCCAAAGCCCCGCCAATGGCGCCCATCTTCCTCCAGCTCATACGGCGGAGGCCTGGCATGTCAAGCCATGGCTTTGGCTCCGCCATATTTGATCGACTCGACGATCTCTCGCTGATTGATAGCGGGAAGCAAGCACGCAACTCTGCAAAGCGCCGCCTTCCTTCCACTGAAGCCACCGTCAGCTGCCGCAAAGGCCAACAGCAGGTACACAACACGGCAAAGGTAACCAGTGAGTGACATCATCAGTCGGTCCAATTACCATCAAATGGGCCTCGCCCCATCACTTCATCAGTCAATCCAGTCACCATCAAGTGAGTGCAAATTGAGAAAGAATCTTCCGCTGGAACATATACTTATAATCGCCATATCAGGTGATGCAAATGAAGAAGTTGATAATGCGTTACAAGGAGGAATGGGGGCAGCTCCGCTAGCATCCACCGATCCACCCACCGGTCTCACCTCCACAACCCCAACCCACTTCGACACCCATATGCCTACCCAACCGCACCTGCACACATACCTACCCACCCACACACCGACAGCCACCTCCACTCACCCACGCCCACTGCCTGCAACCAACGCCGTTGATTAAGCCTTCACGGGTGGAAGAACAATACAGACACGGCGAGACGGTAATTTCCAACAAGAATCCAAAATGCCATGAAATTCCAGCCACAACCAGAATCCAAATAACATAAAATTTCAACCACAAACGAGCAGTCAGCGCCATTCATTGAGCGTGACCTCATAAGCAACAACAACAGATCGACAACGTCAACGCGCAGCAAAAATATCCGATTGTGTTCCCCCGTACCTTGCATTAAGTAGCGAGAGGATGAGTGAGATAGATACTAGATAGATATTACGGAAAAATCTCCACACATTGAGAGAGAAGATTACAAATCTAAAAGAACAAACGTTCCTGACTGATGCTCGTACGAGATGTCAAGATCCATATGTCATGTCAAATCAGACACTCAACGAAGCGGACAAACGCGACGCAACGGTGTGGCACTGTCATATTTCCTTTCTCGGCGTAAAACATGACAACAAACACACACACACAATAAAAAAAAAAGAAAAAAAACAGTCAATGAGTAAGACACCACCTCTCCTAGGGATAACAAACCCTTCTGGCCAACGTGGCGAGTCCTTATGCATCAGTCAAATGCGTGCTGGGCAGACCGTCGGCACTGTCCGGGATTCGACCTCCTGATACATCGGTGGAAACCGACGAAACTCTCGTAAACTCGTACAGGCAAACATCCACAACAGACACCGTAAACGCCCACGCGAACGCACATGCGCATGCACATGCATACACACACACACACACAGAGTCGCAGCAACTAAGCTCCCCCGGAAACGCTGATACGCCCATCCGACGGCCTGTGTACCCCGTGGGCCCTTCCTGCCAAACGGGAAAAGAGTTCGCGCGCGCGTCACCAACAAAGTTCCTAAGTGGGCGTTTTCCACCAATTATTCCCGAGGCTGACAAAGAGAAAATATTCGCCTCTCATATTACCAACACACTTGACCTTGCCGCAGCTCACGCACATAGCGTCACAAAGACAGATAGCTCACGCACATAGCGTCACAAAGACAGATAGCTCACGCACATAGCGTCACAAAGACAGACA